AAAAATGTAACATGTAAAGAGAATGAGTGCGAGACAGTAAGAGACAACACAACTCCCTGATTTTGTTTGTCACTTTGGCAAATTCTTCTTATTAATAAGTTTAACAGTCCACATTTCGACATGTAAACAGTGGACAAAATAGAGATACACTGAGTTAGGAAGAAAGAGGGACACTGAAAAGATATGGTTAAAGGAAGAGGGGTTTTGGATGGTTTCTTTGTCAGTGGGATAGTTATAAAAGTCAGACATTACCCTCCAAAAATAATTAAGCTTCCACCTCAGAAGACAGTTTCTGGGGGTTTTTTAACACATCATTGGACCAGTGAGAAACGTTTGGGGCATTCACCAGAGAAGAGGGTCTCATGCTAATAGAGATGTAGCCAAAATATTTCATTGTTTGTCAGGGAATGAGGTCCAGTCCATTGGGACTCACAATAAGAAAACACTGGAGTAAAACATTTTAACAATAACTACATATAGAAACCAACAATGATGAGATAAGTGAGACAAAAATAGATGAACACATTCAAGATGAACAAATGTTAGGGCGCGTTTTTCATCTTTCTACAAAAAAAAAATCACCCAGACACAGAAACAAGGATGCAAATAAAAACACAGTTGTTCCAGAATGTTTTGTGGCTTTCCGAAGCCGAGAGGTAAAAGAAAATAGGAATTAATATTAATGGCGAACCTCGAAACGTGACGTTTATGGCACAGTGCCCGGGGTGATGTATAACTTGTTTGTGGTGAGCTAACTGCACCTTCTACAGCCCGTGTGCCGAGTTGTGAATTATGCATCCATTTAGGAAATTAGGTCTGAGAAATATCTAGGCCAGCCTATAGAGCAGTTTCTTTTCATTGTTATGAGAGAATGTCAAACTAATGAGCATAATTTCTGCTTCCTCCTGTTGGGACCATGAACTAGTGACTCTGAAGTCCCCTGACCACTGGCTACATCTAATTGTTAACTAGACAGGCAGCCATTCTTAAGAAAATTAATTACAAAGGGAAGATAGATCATTAGGCCCTCTAATTATTGTCTGTGGTTTTAATCTGACGGATGCTGCTAACAAGCACAGCACAGCAATGAATGAAGTTGTTAATTCGAGCACATTACTGGTCTCTGTGTCACATCCCCAGACAAACAAACTGTGCTTGTTTTCAGCTGAACTCTCACCTTCAGTCCTCCATGACAGCAGAAGCACTAACAGAGGGAAGGTGTCCATGACTGATCAGTCAGTCCAGTCAGTCCATTATTCAAAGCAGAACGATCCTGAAACAACAGTGATTCTGTTATTCCCTTAATGGATGCAATGGTCAATCATAATTGCATGTTTTTAACCATGACGGCTATCACGATAGTTCATTTTAGACCACAGAGGAATATCAAAACATTTATCATTTATTCATGGTTCCCAGCATATTAACCCTCATTATTATGATGATCATGCAACTTCTAAAGCTTTATACGTACAAAATTTTGCAAATATATTCATTGTTTTAAGAGGTTGAATCCTCACAACTTTGAGGCTCATTTGGCTTTTCCTCTCATGCCAGCAGCAGGACAAACACTTTCTTCACGCTTTAAAAATATCTCAGATTCTCGACTAGATAGCTTGGCAGAAACATTTTGTAAACAACTCCATGGTTCTTAGAGAAGGAAACCATTACAGCATTATTAGTAACATTAATACGAATTCTATTAACTCCTTTCAGCACCTTAGAAATGCCTGAACCTTCCACAGTTAAATATTGAGGTCAGAAATTAAATGCATTCAATTTACTGCCAGATTCCTCCTTATTGTTAACGTGTTGATCTGCCTCCACTGTCTGTACTTTCTGTGTTAATTTTAGAACTCCAACACAAAAAATAATGAAAAGAAAAATGTGACAAAATGTCTGTTTGTTAGATTCAAACCCTGTGAATTTATTCGGAATTTATTTAAATTGAAGGCATCAATGCAAACAGAGCCTACCCGAGTTACACAAACTGTAAATTAAGTCTGAATAAAGCTGTGATAAAGCTCTGTGCTCTCTCTAACACAGGTGCAGCGATCGCTACACGCTCAGAATAAACACCATCTTACCCCTCAGGTACAGTGTGAGCTACTCGATCAACTGCACTTGCCTCCTAACCATTCCTTTCTCAAACGATCCAAAGCAGCATTTTCAAAAATCCAGCTGTGTAATATTTCACTCACCTTGATCTGGAGTTTCTGTGTATGAGAAGCAAACAACGTCATCGATGTTTTCTAATTCTGCCTCATGCGTGGTGCTCAGCCATGTCACCCCAACTGTCCCGTTAAATATTACCAAATTCAGTGGGAACTTTGGCCCATGCTGCACACACACATACGTAAATACACAGTGTGGGAGGGACTGCAAATATTGCCCATTGTAATTCCTCAGATCCCAGGGGCCTTACAGAGTCCCTCCCTTTTCAAATTATTGAAGTTAAAGGATGATGTATTTTTATTGGGACACAGTAGATGTTTGATGGATCACAGAATACATCACTTTTTTTAATAAAAGGGGGAATCTTTTGTTTTTGGTCAGATCAAGAGAGCTAACACATCTCTAATTAATATTTTCTTCTTTTTTCTTCTACATAATTATCACATTTCATGACAGTTGTCAGGCAAATACTGTAATTTTTACTGTATTAATTTTTTTTGCCGTTTTTGTTTTTTCCGGCCCCCCCCACTCTAACATGCAGATCAATTTATTTATTTATTGAACTTTTATGTACTATGTGCTTCCTTTCTGAACTTTTGGTTGATATTCTGTGTCTCTCCATTAAAATGAAACATAATAATAAAACACTGTTCCTTTCTTTGTAAGTGAGCAATCTTACAAATGCAGCAGGGGATCATGTAACTATTTCCCCCACTGTAGTTATTCATTGAAAGAATTTATCTGTGGCATTCCTGCACACATTAGACATTGGTGAATATTGGGCACAGTAACAATGCCTATCCTGTAAAGCCTGTACTGCACATGCCTGACCCTTTTTTGATCATCTATCTAAAAATAACACTGCATGTTCTCATCCACCTCTACAAAAAAATCTCATGGGACGAGGCATTTGTTTTCCTGTTGACCCCTACACTCCCCAACATGCACAATAGCCCATTCTTCTTTAAATATGCCAACAAAAGAGTTTAAATAAAGATCCACTGAAAATGTTTTTACGAGTCCACTTTATTTTCTTTTCCAACATCTCAGCCACATCTCACTCTTCGTTCAACAAAGTGCATTGATTAGACAGCATTTCTGGCAGAAGTAGCTGTGGCGGTGGTGGAGGGGTTTGCAGTCTTGCAGCATGTGTCTATTTCCTTTCTCGCTGCCATTAGAAGTTGCAGTTTGAATTTACACACTCGCCGTTAGATAAGGCATGAAGTTAGGAGCACAAGAACAGAACTGTTATGAAAGAGAGTGACTTATGACCCTTTGAATCTACAAGCCAGGAGTCACAAGCTAGGATATGCCAGGATTTCCTTCTTTCTTTCTTTTTTTTTCTTCATAGGTCGCCGGCCTTTTGTGTTAGAAAACTAGAACTTCTACAAGTACAACATGGGAAAAGGGTCTGAGTTTAACAAAACAACTGTGCATTTTACAAAAAGCTGCTCATGGCAAACAACCAAACCAACACCGCTAGGCTACTCTGCTCGTTTTTCATTACAGTATGTCTGTACACGCAAAATATAAAAATTAAGTCAACATTGCAGTCAACAGGGAAGGGTGTAAGGCAAATGTGGGTTAGGCGTTTTCAGCTGGGATGGAGCCTTCAAGCACATGACCAGTGGTTTCCAGTAGGGTCATGTGCTGCTTTGCGGAGACGTAGAGGGGCTTTCTGATGGGGCTGAGGGGGGCGGGCCAAGTGTCAAGGGTCGGGAAGAGACGGAACGGGAGGCTCCTTCGGGCTGCAACACAAGAAAAACAGATGACTAGAAATAGGTCACACATTACTGAGTTGTCCGTGGTGGTTGAGGAAGACACCACCATTGCCACGCCTGTGCCACCCAGCGTGCCGGCACCTCCTGAGGCACTTCTGAAGCTCACTTAACAGCTTTCACAAACGAGGCGTGACAGGGGCTCGCAGGGGCTGGCGCACAGCTTAGAGAGGAGGGAGGGGAGGAAGGAGAGTGGGCACTGCCACTCTTTCAGGGCCAGCTTTAAAGCTATTCCTTCAGTGAGACATAGAGGCCTTAAACACACAAAAGAGCTAAAAGAAGATTACAATTATTATCACCACAAATATCTTCATTAGTCCCACTGACTCAGAGGGAAAAACAGGGAATAGTAAGATGCTTTGGTGGTGGATCTAGGTGATCCCCAGGCATGCTGTGTACCCACTGAAGCTGTTTGCAGATGGAGTCAACAGTGGCAGTCCTCTGCAAACATGCTGCGGCAAGTGCAGGTTAAAAAGATAACTCCTTCCAAACACCAAGGTGAAGCAAGCAGGATCTTAGCGCTTTAATGAAAAACTTGCCTGTTTTAGATATTAATGCATGCCACTGCATCATGCATACAATACAGGTTGCGTAATTGTATTTTGCACAGAGCTTTGTTAGCAGGGTCAAAGAAGCACAAAAAAAGAAGGAAAAAAAACTGTACTGAATGCAAGTTTATGTTTTTAATTAATCTGGTTACATAAATGCCAAAGAGAAAAGCAACACACAGAAGTTTCTATCCATTCTTCTACCGAGCCACATGACATCGTGCTGCCCTCCAGTGGTAAAGCAGAGAAAAGCAGAGGGTTTTACCTGGAGAGGAGTAAATCGACATCATCAGCATCGCTCAGCTTCAACTACTCAGCCTCTTCCTCCTGTTAGAAGACAAAATCATGTATTGATAACCAACACACACACACAGAAAGCAGAGACACGTGGCAGTGGTAGAAGGTCGGATTAAAATCTGTTTAAAGTGCCTTTGTGTATTCTATTCTAATGTTTCTAACGGTGCAAGCTTTAATGTGTGGGGAGAAAAAAAAAAAAAAGAAATCCCAACGATAGCTGAGACTCTGTCATTGTTAAACCTTTTACCTGGATGAGTCTCATCAACCGGAGAAGGATTTGTGGGATTCAAAGTGGAAAGACTGCAGTTGTTTCTTAGTTTGTTGCATAAATAAACTATTTGAATTGCAATTTTTAAAAAAACCAAAACAAAAAAAAAACAAAACACAGTCTTTACTATGAGTGAGCTACCAAGATGTGTGATGTGTGTTTGTGTCGCAGACAAAGATCTTCCCTCTTTACAACACTGGACCAGGCATGGCAAGCACAGGCAGAAGACCACATGTGACAAACTGCTGTAATACTACCTGTGTTTCTTCCAACTCTTCTTCTTCTTCCTCTTCCTCTTCCTCCTCCTTTGAAAAAAATTTAAAAATAAAAAAGAAGAGGGAGGGGGCTATGTGAAGTCATGGCTTAAATAGAGGGAAGGTGAGATGACTTCCCATGTTAGTGGCTGTGTTAAAAATGAAGAAGATGTCATTTGAGAGAAGCGTGGGCAGTGGTGATGACAGCAGGGTTGAAAAAAAACTGAGGAAACTAGTGATGGAGTTCTGTTTTTAATGAGATGACCTAAGTGAGACAAGAGTGGTGCTTAAGCAGGCGCACCGTGTAAGATGAGGTTAAACTGCGTGTCACGTGTTTTAAGTGTTACCACTCAAGCCGTGGATGCTGTTCCTGGTTAGTCTTGAAGTAAATAACACGCTCGCTGAGGTTATCTATTATTCGATCCTACAACCACTTTATTCCAACCGGTGACCCAAACTAAGAGTCGTCTAACGTGAAATATTTTTTCTTTTTCTTCGAGTATTGCATGAGAACAAGATGTGCTCCGTCTCCTCCATCTTCTTTGAAACTTGTCACATCCACTTCACATCCACTTTGCTCAGATTGCTCTTGGCAAAACAGGAACAAAAGCCATGGCTTCTTTTAAAAAAAAAAAAAAAAAAGTCATCCTGTCAAGTCAGTGCGCCCCATCTCCCAGTACAACAAAACCAAACATGTCTGAGTTATCCTCACGTGCGTGCAGGCCAAGTTTTAAAAGAAGACAACGGAACGTTCAAGCTGTCTTTTTAGGTATCAAAACTAAAAAAGTGAAAACATCTTGGCAGACTGGCAGAATGTTTCTCTGTGAAAGTTTCATAAAAGTTTGCTCCAACTCTGAACAACCTCATCTTTGTCCTGGCTTGTTTGAGGCCATATGAGTTACACTGCACACAACATTCACTGAACCAATGACAATTACGATCTTGAGGAGAGACAGAGTTCGCCTGAACATGTGCACACAGTCTTTCTCTGCAATCGGATCATGCATTAAAAGAAAAATCCCAGTCACACTTTGTGTGATTCACATCGTGCAAAACATATACAAAGATTCTATAATCCAGATATACCTCTTGCACTTCAGCCTCTTCTTCCTCCTGTGGAACACGAAATCAGGCAGTTTTGAAAAAGAAACCAACATTATGGTCCATATGTGACTCACATATCTGTTACTACATGAAATCCACCTTTAAGGTTTAAGTCAAATATGATCAGGTTTATCATGCTGCAAACCAGCAGGCATGTCCATGGAAAGTGGACCTAAAAGTCCATGCAGCACACCAAAAGAAAGAAGGAGAAAGGGAGAGAAGGGCAAGTCTGTCAAGCTTTAAAATTTTTTTTAAAAAAGTAGAACCACCAGAAACTACAGCACTGCCTTGTTCGTCTTGCTCCTGCAAGAGAGGTTGGACAAGGACAAAACAGATGGGAAGGAAGAGCGGAAAAACAGCAGGGCGAAGCAGTGAAGCATAAGCAGCGTAAACTCAAGCAGAGGCTGGAATGTCTCTGAGAAGCAGAGCCCTTTTCACACAGCACTTAGAACCAGACCTTTTTTTTTTTTAAACAACTTGGACTTTTTGAACCAACTGATTATTCATTGTGTTGGTGTGTTGCAGGGGGCAGAGTCTGATTTAGGGAATGGTTAAAGTGTGGACTCTTTAGGGCAGCTACCCTTGAGATGAGCAACGCTGGGTGAAAAACCGGCTGGGCTGACTCGCCAGACTTCAAACCCTGTCCACGGGGTGCAGACTGAAAAACAGTGCGAGAGCAAGTGCGTGAGTTTGCTTTTTGAAAGTTGGGACACACGAAGTTGAAAAGTTTTGGGGGTGTGTCCTGACAGGCAAAATCCAGGGGAAAAAAGGCCCACAAAGCACTCTTTCAACATAATGACATAACTGAGGAAAATGGATTATTACGTAAACACTGTTGTTACCATTATTGTCTTTTTTTAATGAGCCCTATAGTGGTCATTTCTTTATGAGA